TCGAACGTGTAGATTTTTTAGCGACCGCAACCAGCGGCGTGGCGTGCTTTGCGATGTATCGATTGATCCGCTATTTAAACCTATGGAAAAGTATCGATAAACAGGGTGCTCGCAGCAAACACCTTAATAATCGATTATTTGCCATAGCTTCAAACGGGGAAATATCGATAGATCGAAAAGCACGCCACGCCAATGGTCCGGTTCTCTTACCCTCACGCCCTTGATGCCGAATATCTAGCTACCTTTCTCAACACCGGATCGAACGTTCGGTAACCTTGCTGGAGGTCCACCTCTCTTTACCGCAAAACGGCGTAAATGCATCGATAACTTTACGAGGACCACGTGCTTTTTGCGAAACCGAGCACAGGCCCACAGGTGCTCCATCAAACCTGGGACGATTCAAAGCATTAATGGATCGCTGAATACGTTTTGATGATGTTGCAAAATTCCGACCGTTTTTAAACGCCCGAGGCAATATATTCGCATGTTCTGAAAAACGCGTCTGGTCGTCTAAGATCACAAAAATTTAAGGTTTTTTAATAGCTCTTTCGTACCTTACCGTAGTTATATTACTTGATTGAAAAAGATACATTTGTAAAATAATCAAAAATTCTTAATTTTTCAATCAAACCAAATGGCAGGAAACATAAAGAAAGGGTTTTTTTAGAGGCTAAATGTTTTTACTTTAACAAGATCACCTTCTTTGAGTCTGCTATTAAAATTAAAAATTCATATTTTACAGCCCAACCTGGCAATATTGCCTCTTATGGACCTTTAGACGTTACACCGTCTTCCCTTTTAAAGTACGAATTTTCCGGAAAATTTGTGAACCTTTCCCGTTGAATAATTTGGATGATCTTATTTGCAATTTAACACAGCGTATCTGCAAATGACGATGAGAAATAAACATACATACATACATGAGTCGCTTTTATAGCGCTCTCTGGCGCTTAGCGACGCCTAATCGCCACAAAACTTAGCACACAGAAATAAACAACTTTTTTAAAAATTAATGTTTTATTGAGAAAAATCTGGCGACATCTGTACACTCTTACTGCATCTTTTAATATAATTGCAGAATGATCAACGGCATTAACCACGTCTGGTAATTGGTGGTTTATCCTCACTGAAAAAAAAAATCTCGGTGTATTTACTAAGAAAAGGGTAAAATTACGAGGAATTCAGGGTTCTATTTGATCCCAGTTTTTTCTTGGTAAAATTACCATTTATGGAATTGGTAATTTTACCGAGAAATCTCTGTAAAATTATTGAACTTTCTCGGTAATTTTACTGGACCTTGGTGAAAACGCCAATATTTTTTATCGACTGTGGTAGAATTACCGAGATAAAATTGGCAAAGTTACCGGGAATTGATTACCAATAAAATTGGTATTCTTACCGGAAAAAACAGTAAAAATACCGGTTTTTAGGTAAGTTTACCAGTTTGTCTTGGTAAAATTACCAATAATTGGTAAAAAAAAGTGAGATGGTAAAGGTACCAACGGACCTTGGTAAAAACGCGGAGAATTTTTTTTCAGTGCTTATTTACAGGACATAAAGATGTAGCATCGAGGCAGATCTGATTATTATTTGCGCATTGACTAGCCCCAACCGCAAAATTCGATTTTTAGTATCCAAACCGTCCCGTTGCATCCACACTATCTCCGTCATTGTGATGACCATGATCCAAAGGCAAAACTCGAGCAAGATCCGTGAAACATTCCGAAAACTGAAATTGACCAAGGCTCGGCGCGACTGAAGAACAGGAAGGCCCTGGCCCGCGCTCGAGTTACGTAAAACCAAATCAGAATTTCGTGTGACGTCACGTCGGGCGAAAAAAGTGGTTCCGGCCAACTTGAGACCGGTGACCTGCGTCTACTTTCCATTTCGAGGATTCGGTTCGATTTTGAAACGGGTCCGTCAAAAGCAGCTGAAAAAATGCTCCGCCCAGCTCGGGCGAGAACACTCGTTGGTAAAAATGTGGATCCTTTTTCAGTCACTCTTGTTGCGATGGATAGATTCTAAGCGCAATTTTCTTACTCAAAAGTGCATTTTACAGCAAACACAATACACTTAAAATGTGTATTGAGTGTTGAATCAGCATTGACTAGGTACGAATTGGACGTATCTAAGCTAAAAAGAACTGTGTGAAAGTGGAAAGATGGGTTGTACTTGTGGTGCGCTGGATACGAAACAATATAAAAGTGGATATAGTTCCTTTTTAGAAAATAGAAAAGCGGGATTTTCAATTATATCAAAAGGAACTGATTGTGAGCGCTAACTCGTGAGCCGTGGGCATGCATCTAGAGCGTTGTGGACAGGGCTCATGAGTTAAAGACCGCGTCGTTGCTCGTCGTTTCTCTCGTCGTTGCCGCTGACGTCACTGGCGCTTTATATTTCCCATTTAGGTATTCTCACGACCACTAACGAGCACACCCCATCTTTACACTTGCACATGATTCCATTTAGCATAAATTCGTGCAATTGCTCTATTCGTCGTTCCTCTTACGAAAGAACTTAAGTACATTTCAGTGTTGCTTTTCCCCTCGAATATTGTAATTTCTCCAAAAAAATTCTTAGACATTTCTCCCTGAAAATTTTACAGATTTTTCCTCTGATCTCGTACAAAAGTTAGAGAAATTTTAGCAAAAATTTCCTAGGTATATTCTTGTGAAAAATCGAATTTTTTCGGTCAATGTTGCAACCTTGGAGGGGAGTTACGTTTTTTTGTACGGGAAACGACGCATTGTACGCAAAAGAGCAAAGATAATTTTTCAGGAAAATTTCTTCAGGTAAAATCACATGCGAATCACGATGGGCGCATCGAAAAATTCACATTTTGGCGAGAAATTTACGTATTTCGCCACCCTCCGGCCAAAATATCACAAGCGCCATGCGGCGTTTAAAAATTTCCGCCACCATTTTATTTTTTTACAGAGAATTTGTTCAACAAAGCTGTCTGAAAATTTCACTGAATTTTCTTTGTGCTGCCGATAAAATTCAGTGAAATTTTCAAACAGATTCAACCAACAATTTCTCTGTAAAAAAAATATGATGGCAGCGGAAATGTTGAAACGTCGCATGGCGCTTGTGATACTTTGACCGGAAGTCGACAATTTGTGACACATTTTCCACGTCCACGGGGAGATTTTTTAGTGCCGTTCACCAAGCTTGACTAGAAAAATACACGAGAAAACTTAACCTGAATAAACAAAAAATTTTGTACACTTTTTCTTGGGTATATTCAATCGTTTTCGAACGTTTGTTCCTGCTTCGTATCGCAGAGAAAATTGTTTTAAATGAATTGACGCCCTCACGTAGAAAAAATCCATAGAGGACAGTTGGACCGCGTTAAACAGAAAGGAACCAAGCCACATCAGCTATTGCCAAATTTAATTGGACAATTTAATTTTTTACATGAAAACGGCTGTGCGGATTTTTGTGCAAATTTCTATGAATTTTCTCCATAATTCAAAGCAAATTCCTTAAAATTTTCAAAGGAATCCGCACAAACGTTCTCTCGTAAAAAATCGAATTCCCCTTTAAAATTTGACAACAGCTGATGTGGCTTGGTTCATTTTTGTTTAACGCGGTCCAGTTCATCTCCCCTTTTTTTGGAATTTTTTTGGTATCATTTTTGGCAGTCGCGTGTACGTTCTGGAATAAAATTCAGTCCGAATTGCACCCCAAGATTAATAACGGTGCGTGCAAATTCTCCACATTTCAAATTACAATAAAGTTACGCTAGAAAAATAAATTACAAGAGAAAATATTACTGAAATTATGATAGAAAGTAAAGAGAACTGGAAAATCATAGAGAGGCTGATAACGACAATATTGAAAAGAAAGATCCAAGAATTCAACAAATCCACCAATGCAATGCCAGAAGGCGGTTCCGGTGTGTCAGCAGAGGGCTGACAACAAGTTCCGAACAGTTCATTCAGTATTTATCATTAGATAAGTCTATGGTTTACTTTATTACAATGTAATATTACTAAGTACTTTCACAATGATTAAACTTGTTAAATAAAAAATAAAAAAAACAAAAAAAATAAAGTTACGCAATCTCAATAGAGTCGCACAGTGGGGAGAATTAATGGAGAAGGTCAGACATGATGTAAACACTTTCACAGCTTTCACCTTCGTTAATACAATGGGCAGAAGTTCAAAAGTGGCCTCGTTATTTCTCTCGTAAAGTTTCTTTCAAAACGAACCCCTTAAAATGTTCAATGTGACAAAATAAACAACAAAGTTGGTAATTTTACTTTCAAAATGCATGTCCAATCTCTCTCATCGACTTGCTCCTGTTCGGGCCGAATATTACAATTGATAGACAAAGCGGTAAAAAAAAGAAGACGAAGGGAAAATAGACCTATCCTGCATGTTGAAATGGGTCATCACTATAACTGCCGTGCTAAGGAAAAACGTCGAATGAACCTCCGTCAGTTGCCAAATTTCCCACGTTCAAAACAACTTTTCAAGAAAGCTCGTGAATATTACCCTTTCGAATTTTCAGACACTTTTTTTCGTGATCATGTCGATGTCCTCTGAAAATTTGAAGGGAAAGTATGCATGATTTCCCTTCAAAATGAACATTTCATCGGAAGAAATTTGGCAACTCTCGAATGTTCATACGGTATTTTCTGCGGAAACGAACCGAGCCCTCATTAAAAACCGTCGTTTTTCATGGAAAGTTGGCAACAGAGGGATGAGCTATGACTCGAGGCGAGAAATGCTGACTCTGAGGCGATGTGCGCCTGTGAGCCGCGGGGCTCCAGTGGCGAGACGTGAATGATCGATTATCGATACTTTTCCATTTAAAGCTATAGTGAAGAATCGATTATTAGGAGTTCGATGCGAACACCCTGATAATCGATCCTTTCTCATGGGTTTAAATGGCAGATCAATCGATACATCGCAAAGCACGCCACGCCACTGCGGGACTCGGGCGGTCAGAGTCGAGTCCGACGTTTTCCTCAGCACGGCAGAACATGTTCGTTCCATTTTCCCTTTGTCTCTTTTGTCTATCGCTCTGTCAATCTATTCCAATAATCAGCCCCCTGTGCGTCGCAAGACTTTATTGAAAAATGTCTCGGAGATTATTACGATTCGGTCGAACTGAGGCGTTATCAGCCCAACGAAAAGATACTCTAAACGACACGCGAAGCGTTATCATTGACCTCTCGACTACTCTGACTAGTGGCGAGGCATGAATGATCGATTATCGATATTTCCCCGTTGGAATCCGTGGTAAAGAATCGATTATTAAAGTTTTCGTTGCGAACACCCTGTTCATCGATCCATTTCCATAGGTTTAAATGACAGATCAATCTTTATCGCAGCGCACGCCACGCCATTGACTCTGACCTTGTATCAGCCGCTTCCATAATCAAAGCTACGCCAGTCAACGGTTAACGCTTGACTGTATTGTGATTAACTCGCAATTTTCTACATTTTTACAGCCGTCCCTCCGTTTTTTAACCCTTTGTGCCGTGTTATTTCCACTCAGTGATGCCTGACAGTGACCACGCATCTCATTCGAGGAGAAGGCTCCCTCGGTGGTTCATACAGGTCAGTCTCGGATTCACAGCTATGATAATCGTTTTGCTAGCATGCTTACCGTTGATTTCCTCGAAGACAGCCTACGCCCCCGAAGTGCTCAACTACTGCATCGATGGCAAATATCACAAAAAGCTGCCAGGCCCGGAGCCGGGTTTGTACGGCGAGTGTTCTCCGTGGGCGAACCGAGCTTGCTGCCATTCGAAAACCACGTACAACGCTCACCACCAGAACTCGTATCGCTTCAATTGGGACCACTGCGGGCACGTGAAGAACATGTCGGATCTCTGCAGAGTGCATTTCCTGATGGACGTGTGTTTCTACGAGTGCTCGCCGAACGTCGGGTTTTGGGTCGTCAAGGAAACCAGAGGACGAAAGTACCAGGAGCGGTTCTTCGGGGTGCCTCTGTGTAGAAGCGACTGCGACTCTTGGTTCGATGCCTGCAGGAACGACTACACTTGCGGAGCCAATTGGGGGCAGATATTCGACTATAAGAATGGGGTTAACTATTGCAGGGAGGGCTCTCAGTGCCGGACCTTCCATGAGGTCTATGGGAATTCGACCAACTTCTGTCAGAAGGTTTGGGATCATTCGTGGAAGGTGACGCCCAACGATCAGCCGTGCATGCGGATGTCTTTCAACAACTCGATGGACAACCCCAATGACCGAGTGGCGTGGTATTATGTGTACAAAGCCAACGGTTCGACGAAAGGTAATGGGTCTGCTTCCCTCATCTGCAGTTTCATTTTAGCCTTGCTGTTTTTATATTTTCAGTCCCAACGTCAACGGTGAGTCTCCAATCATTCATGAGCGTCTACAGTTATTTTCTATAGAGCCCGTGATATTCATCTTTTGATTTCAGATAACTGAGGACACTATTGTTTTTGTGCTATCAACATAGAGTACATAGAGTCGCAATGTAAACGGGAGAGCTGGCGGTATGCTCTTGTCGACGAGTTCCGAGCCCGGTGTGCGCCGAGCTTCTGTCACTTTTTCTATCCAAAATGGTGACGTAGCAAACGCAATACTTCCTGTCCTCTTAGTTTACATCGGATGGCTGGGTCCCCGTGTATCGAAAACAATTGATCATGTATCGAAAAAGTAACCCGGCGTGACACAGGAGTCTCAGATTTCGGGATCTGGAAAATGATTGAAAGCAGCGTCAGCTCTCCCATTTACATTACGACTCTATGTACCTTATGGCTGTGGAAAACGCCGTAAGAACATTGAAATGTTGCTAAATTTCCTATGGTAAAAATATTATGTAGGAAGAAAGTTAAGCATAATTTCTTTTTAAATTTTCAGATATATCAGGTTGAATTGCGAAAAAAATTAGTGAGAAAATTGTGTCTGATAAGGGATAGTTCTTACTATATCATTTTTGACTTTCCCGCTCCCCTAGTTTTTGTGGGGCATTTTTGTTCTCATAAAAATTTTGGCTTTGATTTGAGCTGAGAATACAATCGAACGCACTTGTACTAAAATGAAAAGAAAAAAAATCTTGATTTAAAGACGTCCAATTTACATACGCATTGATGATTATAAGGAATTTACGGTGTATCAGGTGTAATTTCATATTGAAACTCCATTTTACATTCCATTCCATTTACTCCAATTTACATACGCATTGATGATTATAAGGAATTTACAGTGTATCAGGTGTAATTTCATATTGAAACTCCATTTTACATTCCATTCCATTTACTCCAATTTACATACGCATTGATGATTATAAGGGATTTACAGTGTATCAGGTGTAATTTCATATTGAAACTTCATAAAAACATTTATTTTTTTCTCAAAACAAATATTCTGTCAGTTCTTTTTTTCACGAGTTAAACTTCCAACCTCCTTTTACCGAAAGTACTCAATAAAAGTCTATGAATTTCCGGTAATGAAATCCTACATTAAGGGGTCGTCCATGAATGACGTCATACACTTAAGGGGGAGAGGGACCTGAAACACCCTTTTATAAAAGGATGGGAGGGGATAAGAGAACCTGACATGAGGAAAGGAGGGCTGAAAAATCAGAGTGACCCAAGAAATCTCAAGAAAAGAGAAAAGACTGAAAGGAACTTAAGCCTCCTTCCATCAGAGATAGACTTGGTTCTGGACATAGCGTATCCTCAGAATTTTGCGGATTATCGTATACAGAACAACTATATCACTGGTAGACTCGCTGATTAGTTGAATGGACGACAGCTTACAAGATTCACCTTAAGTGATAATCAGAATGATTTGACAATTATACCTCTTAAAATATCGTGGGAAAACAATAAAAAATAAGTTCAGTTGCTGTTGACGGGGGCTTCCGAACCCCCGGAACCCCCACCCCCAATACGGTCACATTTTGAGTACATTTTGCAAAAAAGAACTATTATGCCTGCTTCAATTTAAAAACAACAGATAGGACATTACCTTCTGTACGAAAATATGTTCTTGTATAAATGAGCCATGAATAGTAATTCCATATTGAAAAATATAATCCAATCGCTTAATCTTTTATGTCGACGGCGTAAGTTGGCAATCACAAAACTCGTTTGCGACATCGCAGACTTTTTGTAATACTTTATTTTTTAAACGGAAAACTACTCCAACGGCAATTCTTTAAAACTGCCGTGATTTTTCTTCTCTGTGCGAAAAAAATTCTGCAAAAGCTTCAAGGAATGATGTCAATTTGTTCTCTTTAAAAAGAATAATGTAGGGGCGGAGATTTCAGATACCGCAAACGATAGATATGTGATTGCCGATTACGCCGTCGATCAAGTACTTTGTGGAGAAAAAGTTTCATTCGATGCCTTCTAAATGTTTGTTATACATGTACGTTGATCGCATGCTCTATCAAAATCATTTGTAGAGTAAAATTATAGACGCATTGAAGCAAATAAAAGCAAATCAAATATAACGGATGATAATCAAATTATATTTTTCAACTGAAACTCCTCTGCAAAACTAGTTAAAAAACCATAAGGGGAAAAAAAGGCAATGGATTTCAGCTACTGACTTTCTTGGACTGCGGAATATAGGGCCAACCTTGCCAAACGGTTGAACCAATTAGTTCATTAGAATTAATCTTTCGAAGATAGGCAAATAAGAACGAATTATGCACTAACAGCTCAACTTTTAAAAATTCGTAATTTTCGCTAGCGAATTCTTTTTAGGTTGTGATTTTGCTTCTTATAGTGATGAAATATTACCTGAGAATTTCGAATAGAACCTCTACGAAGACGCATGATGCTATAGAACAGGTAAGTAAGGTACGGCATTCAGGGTCTGACTGGCTCGCATCTGAAGGCGTAGACCCTATAGTTAAAGGGGCGTAATGTGATATTTCCTAGTAGGGCATTCCCTACGTGGAGAGGGGTTCAGAAAATTTTGGCAAATCAGAACAAGTTTACGCTATTTTCAGGTTCAAAGTTTATTGATCGCACCGAGTAAAAATTGCAAAATTGAAAGTAAAGCACAGTATATTGAGAGCTCACGGTTCGCGTCATCGCGCCTTCAATTTTTCAGATGCAGCACGGACGTCCATCAAGTACGAATAGTTGTATCTCTGCGCCGTTGTAAACACGCATCCTTTCCCTCCCAATCGGAAATTTGACCTTGGGCAGATCGGAATAATATTGTGGCAACCTTAGCGAGATTTTGAGCATATTTCAACAGTAAGGTTGGCCTGAGAATCTTGGTACAATATACCATCAATACTGGATATATAACCTTAGTATTTTAATATTGCACCAATATTAGCAACATTAGAAATCCAACGTCAGGTGGTGCTCGGTGATTCCAAGATTGTCACAATGTTGTCACAATATTGGTTATACAAAATTGGTAAACTAATACTGTCGTAGAGTTATGTTTTCAATATTGCAGTAATATGTTAGTTTTAACATTGGCACATTATTAAGAAAAATACTGAACATAGGCTTCTGCTTATAATATTGACATAATATTGACACAATATTAGGAAAACAAAATTGCTAAAATAATATCGAGACGATGTTATCTCTGTGATACTGCGGTATTGTCATTATGTTAACATTCAATTAACGTTAGAACAACAAACATAACAGGCTTCTGTTCGTAATATTGTCATAATATTGACACAATATTGGATATCTAAAACTGCTGAATTGATATTATGCTAACATTATTTTTACAACATTGTGGTAATATTTGCACTTTAACATTGTCACAAGATTGAGAAAATAAACATTTTAGGCTTCTGTTTCTAATATTGTCATAAGATTAACACAATATTGTGCGCGGCGAGCACAATTCGACCGCGTTTGCTATTTCCGCCACCAGGGCGCGCTCGCCGCGGATCTGCCGTTGCGGTCCCTTTAAGGGCAAATTAAAGGGAAAAAACTGCGACCTTTCGCTTTTTGACGTAATAGGCACATGATCCATAGGCGTCTAACCCATCTTACCGATATTCTTAGGCCAAGGGCTCAAATGGAGCTTTTTGGCAACGGTCCGCGCGCGGCCGCCCCGTCAATGGGGCTGGTTCTCGTTTCGGCTGGGCAGTGCCCGTTACAAGTGGGATCCAAAATGAATACTTCAGCCAGTGCAGGCAGCCAAGAAAATAGCTGACTTAGGAAGGTTTCTCGGCACTCCAACGTTCCGTATGCCTACATTAGGCATTGCGACGCTGAGAAATTTCTTCCGCGAGGACGGCAGGTAATACGGCGTTCTCTCGCCTACCTTGCCTCAGAGATAAGACTGGAAATCCAAGCTTGTCTCAGAGGTATAATAAATATCCTGCCAATTTTATGGCAATATTTTAACATCAAGTCTATGGCATCATCATGATCACAATATCCGCTGAACAAGCTTGGAGCAATATTATTAACATAACGTTGTCACAATATTGAATATCCAAGTTTGTCTCGGAGGTAAAATAATGTCCCACCAACATTGTGGCAATATTGTCAGCATAGGCTTGGAGCAGTCTTACAAACCTAACCTTGGCACAATCTTTGGGCTCAAGCTTGTCCCAGAGGTAAAATAAATGTCCTGCTAACATTGTGGGAACATTAGCAAAATAAGCTTGGCAACTCTATTCAAATGTGAAAAAATGTCATACTAAGCTTGTACCAAGGTCAAATTTCCGATTGGGCTCCCTCTTTTTCCATATTTTGTTTGTTTCCGTTTGTCTTATTCATATGGTGCTTCAAGCACTACGTGAGTAATACAGCAGAAGGTAGGAGAGATGTCTTCAGACCTTTTTTAACTTTTCTTCCGAATCAGAGCGACACTTCATTGACAGCATAAAGCAGAACATTGAGAGCTCACGCCTCGCGTCATCGCGCCTTCAATTTTTTAGATGCAGCACGGACGTCCATTACGTACGAATAGTTGTATCTCTGCGCCGTCGTTAACGCGGATCCTTTCCCTCGCTCTATTACCATATTGTGTTTATTTGCGATTGTCTTATTTGTAATGTTGCTTCAAACTAGAGCAGAGCGTTGCGAGTTCACGACTCACGGCATCGCGTCTTACATTTTTCATATGCAATGTGGACATCCATCTTGCGCGAACAGTTGTATCGCGTTTACATTTTAGATGTCTCTTACTTTTTAATTTCGAGATAAATTAAGGTTAAGTTTGCCCAAGCTATGCTTTGTTATGTCCAAATCAACAGTCATTTGAAAAGGAGAAAATATGTTTAAAGGTCTCTTAAGAGGTCTAACTCTCTCCTCTTCCGTTCATTTAAGACATTTTTCTCACATATTCTCGGTCGTAATTTTTTCTTCTTCTTATTTTGCTATATGTAAGAGATAGGTGGTTAGGTGGTTTTCGGTGGAGATAGGTGGTTTTCGGCTCGGAAAGGCGGCGTATCTGCCAATGGCAGATTGGCCTTATGGCCAGTCTGAGCCTGACGACATTATAAATACGACATCTAACGATAGGACGAATAAGTGGTTTATCCGACCAATCAAAACTCACGGAGCGATAAGATTTTTATGTTATATGGACCGAGTTTAACAGAAAGGAATCAAGCCGCATCAGCTAGTGCCAAGTTTAACTGGACAATACATTTTTTTACGAGAGAACGTTTGTTCGGATTTCTTTGAAAAGTTTAAGGAATTTGCTTCGTACCGTGGAGAATTTTCACTGAAATTTGCAAAAAAATCCGCACAACCGTTTTCATGTAAAAAATTAAATCGCCTGATTTTTGTCAATAGCTGTTGTGGCTTGGTTCCTTTCTGTTTAACGCGGTCCATATAATAGTATTCCAAACGGATAAAACTACTCTTGCTCCTTGGTAGATTTGTTGTCTATGCAGCAAAATTGAAGGCAAACTTCAGATACGTTGCAAATACGTTCTTAATTTTTATTTTCTTCCAAATTCGTTTCTTTTTTGTAACAAAGTCTGCGACCTAACTACAGAGATGTTAACGGCCATAGTTGCTGAGACACCGCTTTAAAATAAACGTATCTAATTAGCTAACATTTTAGCGCCATTTATGAGATGGCGTTTAGTGAGGCGAACCTACACCCACCCTAAATCCGGCTCCACACTTAAAGTTATCATGAAATGTACTCTAAAACGTAGAAACGTGGATAAAATCCGCTTTTATTGAGCTCTTTGGTGCTTTGCGACACCTAGCCGCCAAAGTTCCCTATCCCCCCAAAGCCCTTCAAGGAGCTGGCACTTCCTTATTTCCTCTAAAACCCCCTGTCGCCACTCAGATCCCACCCCTAGAGCACCTATATTGAGAGAGAATGGCCACTGGGCCCCATGGAGAGGCTTAGGGCCCAAAAATGGCAGTGCGTTGTTTTGGTTTTTGTGGATGGGAGGGGG